ATAGGTAGAGCATCCTTATGTCAGGAGAGACATCTCCTGACATAACACCTCCCCCGGTCACAAGAATTGTATAGAATAAAAGAAAAAAATGTCTCACGGAGGCGAAGCAGAAAGTCAGATAGATCCGCTAAGAGCGCTGTTGTAATAGACGTATGTAAATGTTCATAGAACGACAACGAAAAAACACTTGACGAAACGAATGAGTAAATGGTATAGAAGGTTATCCAAATATTCAGCGTGCCTTGTGAATTATATAAAAAAGAACGAATGTGCCATATCGAACGTTTTGCATGTACGAAAAAGAAGTATAATAATGTCATGTATACGATAGGAGGTGAGAGAAAGTGTAAAAGAATTTAGCAAAGAGGCATGTTTGTTAGATATTTATCGAAAGTGCAATAACAAAGATAAGCGGGTACTAATGCAAATGAAGATATACGAATAGTTTATGTTAATTTAGTATGCAAATTCCAGTGACCCGTTCCATTTATGCAGGGAGAAATATTTTCCCACCTGCTGCCGATTATTAGCTTGTTGCACTAGGGTACAGCTAAAGTTCTAAACCACTCAAAATTAGTCTTGTGATAAAAGCCGGTGTTGTTAATTAAATATAAGGATTGTTGATAATGATCAAGAATAAGACAAGGAACGAGATTTCCAAATATCATACTAATAAATAAGAAAGCAACAAGACTGATATCAAGTGAGACTAATTGAATAGTATTCGAGTTAAATGAATCTTCTGAGAGTATTGTCTTCGGCATGTATGAAGAGATTGTAGTGTTGTTTTGGGTAAATTCAGAGTGAAAATTGGGAGTAACCTGTTGTCTTGCTACTTCATCGTTGAATAATTTGATTGATTTGAACAGTATGCCGGGTTCGGCAATATTTGTTTGCGATAAAAATAGTATTTCACTTGTCGGGTGAGCGAGTGCTGATGAGTCATGATCCGAAACACAAGATTTTTTTTGAAGCGAGTTTTCAAAAATATTGAATGTCAAATCCGGTAGTGCTATGTCGTTTGCAGATGTAACAGACTGTTTACGCTGTGGAAGTTCATCATGAATTAACCACGTTTCGTCACCTTCAGGCCACTCAGTGTCGAAATATTTACTAATAGATTCATGTAAAGTTGAACTAAACGAAACATCATGACGGAATTCTGTTAATGCATCTTTATGTTTCTGATTTACTACATAATCAAGTACATGTTGAGGGTGAAGAAGATAATGATTAAGTAAAAATGTTTCACAGAATGGACTGTCTTCTGCAGAATAGATATCATCGCGTCTAATAACCACAGAATTTCCAGACATGTTAGCCGGTGCAATCACAACATTTGCTAGCTCAAAATCAATAATATAAGCCATATGAACAGTTCCAAAAATATTTGCTGTTACAAGTTGCCCCAAACATGGATGAGAAACATTCCAGCCAAAGAATTGATCGAGACACCACTTGAGATCAAGACGAGCACGTTCTTGTCGAACATAATATTCTATAACTTCTTCGGAACATTGTACGTGCTGGGATTTGATTTGATTTCGTAATTTTTCGTCTCTACTTGGTGGTGGGGGAGCACATAACGGCAGTTTGTGACGAATCCAAATAGGAGTGGTTGTAATTTCGCTAGGATACATCAATAACGACGGATTGTAATATTTCAATAATAGTAATAGAAGAATAATGAATTATTAATCGTTGTGTTGCATTTGCGAAGGACTCCGGCTAGTGCACCAATTGTTAGGGTCCTTTACTTGTTTTCTTTATTATTCTTATTCCTTTCTTTTCAAAACCAAACAAGCGAATGAATCAAAAAACAAAAAGCAGCAAAGAATGTAATTCTCTCTCTGTCTCTTATTTCATTCTTTATCTTTCTTTATCCATGGTGAGAATACCATTGAGAAAGAAGAGTAAGAATGCCATTGATGTGTAGTGATGACATCACAAGAGAATAGGTAGAGCATCCTTATGTCAGGAGAGACATCTCCTGACATAACAGTGGGTGTGGGTGTGGGTGTGGGTGTGGGTGTGGGTGTGGCTGTGGCTGTGGCTGTGGCTGTGGCTGTGGCTGTGGCTGTGGCTGTGGCTGTGGCTGTGGCTGTGGCTGTGGCTGTGGCTGTGGCTGTGGCTGTGTGTTGGTTTGCGCTTCTTCAACACCCACACCCACACCCACACCCACACCCACACCC